ACAGGTGGAGAGGTATGATCAAGGACTTCCCAGGTGCTTGAAGCGATGTGTCGATCAGCTTTCGGAAATATTCACCGCTCCACTCGGCGAAAGGCAGATGATTGGTGCAGAGGAGGATGCAGGATGAGGAGGGTTGGAGATGACTGGCTGGCTGGCTGGCTGGCGCGTGATGATCATCGATGCTGTGGATCCATCTGGTCCAAGCGCGCCCAGGCGTGCACGTCACGATGCCACGTGGACGGACATCGGTAGGCTGACGGGCGTGCACGCTCATGCATGCATGCATAGGCCTCGAAGCCACCAAATCTCCAGATGGTCGGCACTCACCACCAACTCACACTTGCTTGTCGGCCACGAGTCACAAATTGCGGATTCATAAGCAGGTGCGAATTGGTGCCGCTCGTAACGACGCTCAACACGGCGGGGCTCTGACCCAACCACTTACCCAACAGCTCCCAGCTTTGCTCCGGGCAGTTCCACAGCACACCGCACACACTCTTGCTCTACCTCACGATCCGCGCATTCAAAGACAGACCTCACCTCCACCGCGTTCATCAACGACAGACCGGATTCCTGCTGGGCGATCGATTCCAAAGCGCACTGTACGAGACGATCATATCGAAGGCAGACATCATGGTTATTGGAACGGTAGCTGGATGGGCTGGAGCTGGCTTCTTGACCAGGTGCTGGGCTTTGGCTATTCAGAAGAGAAACATCTTTGATGGTGAGTGTTCTCTTGCTCTTCTTTTAGTCTGGCGCGTGCGGCGCAACGCGCTCTTTTGCGAGTACATCGCATGTCTTTTGTAATCAATAGACCAGCTAGCGAAAAGGGACCTTTGTCTTGAAGGCTTTGCCTTGGCCAGAGCTGGAGACTGCATGGATCGTGCAAGCTGCGCACCTTCTCCTCGCACCTATTTGCAAGCGCAAGTCCAAAAAGGTCCTGACACACCTAGCATACATGCTTTCCCACCCAGGTCTTGGTGGTCACGCAGCCTTTATGGGCGCCTTTGGAGCGATTGGATATTGGGCTTACGGGCTCGAAGATCGTCAATTGGAATTGATCAAGCAAAAGAAGGAACAGATTCTGAGAAACAGGGAGAATTTGGCTGGAAAGCTTAGCGGTGGTGGAGCTCAGGAGGAGGAATGATGGCCTGAAAGGCGAAGCAAAGAATTGCAAAGAGCTTCGACGAGGGTCAAAGCTCGTATGCAAAGTCTTGAGCTTATATCCGGTCTCATACAGCGTCGGAATACGAGGATCCTACACGCAATACATCAGTCGTACTCGCTTCATTGGGGCTAGCACACGCGATGCGACACTCAGTGGTGGTTTGATGGCGCCAAGCATCTGGCAGGACCTTCGTACATGAGAGCGGCATATCATTCAGTTGCAGCTAGGGCTCCGCATACTTCGAACGCGATGCCCTTGACTCAAATCCAGCGCAACGCGCGCGGTAAGAAGAACTCTGGCGTCAGTGTGACTCACTTTGATTCGGCCCATCCTATGTTGGTGGGCTATGCCGAGGCGTTTGTCCTCATTGGGCGCCCTAGCGGAGAACGATGGTTCTCAGTTCTACTCACCTTGTAAATATCAAAGATCAGGACTTCGGACTCGGACTTGGACTCGGACTTGGAGGTGGACATGTCGCACGCAAACCAAAGATGAGCCGAGTCAGATGAAGATCGATTGGCTGGAACAGAGCGCATTCCAGAGCAGTGGATCGGATACATTGGAGGAGAACATAAGGGA